AATTAAAATTTTAGCTTGAGATTTTAATTCTGTTAAGATTTTGAAAGTATCAGGATTTTGAATGTCAGGATTTTAATGCTGTCAGAATTTTAATTTGTCAGGATTTTGTGTTTTGGGATTTTGTTGTCGGGATTTTAAGCATCAAGATTTTGAGTGTCAGGATTCTGTAGTATAATTGTTGATACCAGGTACATCATCCAAAATTCCCTAGATGATCTACATGTGACAATTCAAAAGTGCTGCAGCAGCCACCAATTATCAAAAATCTATTTTGACTAATCAAGAAACTAGACTTCTATTAGAAAAATTATTTTAAAATCAAAAATTAAATAACTTCGCTTATTGTATTAGTGATGAAATAAAATATATGCTATGCTGTTATAGCAATTTCATAGATCATTATCTGAACTTCTGAGAAACGATTCTGGCTGATTTGATCATTTGGCTTAGACATGCATGATGTACCTGTTATCAACTATATACTATATTTGGGACAAATTTCCTAAAACATTAAAATACTAAAACACTAAAACATTAAAACACTAAAACACTAAAACACTAAAACACTAAAACACTAAAATGCTAAAACACTAAAATACTAAAATGCTAAAACATTAAAACATTAAAACACAAACATTAAAACATTAAAATACTAAAACACAAACTATGTCACTTTGGGTACCTATGGTACTGTAATATTGTGAGTCTATATAAATAGTAATAGTACTGTTTCTTGGATATATACTAATAGCAGAAAGTATTACAATAAGACTAATTTTATTAAAATTACTTATTATATAAAAATTATAATAGTGAAATTTTTTTAGAATATATAATTCTTTGAGCTTTTAATAGTTTTTATTATAATAGTATATATAATAATTGGCACAGATTAAAATAAAATCTGATCAAAATGAAATATTCTGTTTTTTAAAGAAAATTTAAAATTTTTGGATACTATTTTTGGTGTTTTTTTAGCATTAGGAGTAGGGTTTAGAGTTAGGTTTATTAATAAATAAATATATATAGATTTTATAGACTCTAAAGGTAGGCATGAGAGATCTCTAGTTTTATTTTGATAAGATTTTATTTTAATCTGTAATAATAATTAATAGTTTTGTTTAATAAAAAACTGAAAAACTGCTTATGAAAAAATTAAAACAAACTAGAACTTAAACAAATTTATTATTATTTAATAATTTAACTAACACTAATAAGTTATTATAAAGTTAAAAATAAAACATACTATATATTAAAAGTATATCATATATCAAATACTTTTCAAAGTTATATTTATTAGAAATATAGTGAAATAAAGTATATAATTTACAAATAAGTTATTGTGTTCAAAATTTCAAATTCTATTAAACAGCATAATCATTGTATATATATCTTTTTTTGATGATTACATTATATAATTATTGAAATTTTAGTAAATTGCATTTATTCTTAATCTCATAATCTAAATCAAATTAGTTTAACATGATTTTTTATCTGTAATTATGATTTGATTTAGTTAAATAATCATAATAATCATACATTTAGATTAGTATATTATTTTAATATTAATTAAGAATAAAAGAATATAATATTAAATATTGTACACTTAAGAATTTATATTATAAAACATTATATCTATCAGATTTATTATAAGATAAAGATAAATCCTTTTCTAGTTAATTTATTGTAGCTATGCATATAGTAGTTTTCTTATCTTGCTATTTTTAGCAATTAATTTAAGAGTATTTTATGATTATTAGAGTGCTGTTTAATTTATAAACATCAAATTACTTTGTGAAATTTATTTTAAAAAGATTATAGTTATTTATTAGTTTTCTATTAATAGCATTAGACTGATTAATATATACTTATTGCGTGTATACTATTTAAATTAATTACTTTTAAGATCTTTATTTTAAACTCTACTGCAAAAAAAAATATTAATATATATACTCAAAATATATTATTTAATTTTAATTACATAACTATTAAAAATCACACTAATTTAATTTATTTAATAAAAAAGACTAAAGTAAAATATCAACTAAAAATTATAACAATAATTATAAAACAAAACTAATATTAATACACTATAATTAAACCTCTAAATAGAATATAATCATTCTTAAAAACAGCAAAAGCAATTTTTTATTTATTTATTTTATTTTTTTTTATGTTAAAGTGATCACTTTGGGGTCTAGTATATTTTATTGAACTTTAGATCAAATACAAGGCAACCATATAGGCTACTCCTGAATTTATTTTTTTTTTTTTGAATGTTAATGGTAAGACCATGTCTCTATCTTTATTGAAATTTAATTCGATTCTCTTACAATAAAAAGAATACATTTAAACTCCATATCCTAAGATAACAAGAAAAGAAACTCAGACTAGTTTATCTGTGGCCTAAACCAATAGATTACATTTGTTATGTAATATGCCATAATGTTTTAAATAATAAAAATATTTTATTTGAATTGAAAAGTATTTATGTTTAAATTTTACTTTAAAATTAGATACTTTTAAACTATAGTATTTGATTCTTAGAGCTAATAAAATATTCCGACTTATGCAATTAAGAATTTTTCATTGTTTAAACAATGAAAAATCCTTGAAATCACAGTCTGGATACTCCAGAAGGTAATACAATAATTAATTTTATTAATTATAAAGGTCATTGTATTTACAATAGTTTATGTCAATTTTTATTTAAATTATATAATCAAAATCAGGTTATTCACATCAATAATTTGTAATTATTGATATCCATTTAAGTTTTCAGATCCAATCACTACCATCATTATTTTATGGGAAACTTAAAGAGATACCGGTAAATCATCCAACTGGAGAAGGAAATGTGTGGTTTTCCGATTAAAGAATTCATTGTAAACGAAGAAATATCAAGCTGTAATAGTTCAAACAAAAGGTTTATTCCACATACTTTTCTTATCGAGTAACAAGAAAAAAGAACATAAACACTGTGATTAATCAGTGTTGCATAAATCTTGTGTCAGATTGCAGATAGTGCATCAATCGCCACATATCTTTATGATTCTTATAAGTTTTCATAAAGTAGAATTTAAAAACTGAAAATTTATGCAAAACAATAATTTGAATTAGATTGTCCAGCAGTTTTTGCAAATAAATTAATTTGCTTTTAGCCGAGCTAAACTACTGTATTCTGAGTAATGTTATTTTAAAGATCAAGATTAAATGGTTTATGTAATATGTAGATATTTCACGGTGCTTATGCACATCCTGTAACATCTTTGAATAAAATTTTTACTGATGATGTCATACCAATAAATGCTGGTGAAACTAATGAAATTTACTTTAGTTTCGCCAGCATCTATAGCTATTGTGAAATATTTTTACAGTATTACACCGTCATAAAAACATAGAGATGTTCACGGGCGAACGTTAATATAAATCAATTTTCCACTTAAGACACAAAAGCTGTTGTATTAATAAAATTTTGCAATATAGCTCTTTAAAGTTTATATTTTCTTGTGATTTATTATAAGATTTATAAAATTATTTAAAAGCTAATCAATTTGATCTGAATTATACTGAATTATGTATAAACGGTACGACCCTTATCTTATGATAACACTTCATTTTCTGTAATAAATAGATGTCATTAATGTAATCCTAATGTTACCGGATGTACTTGGTGTCATTTTAACGTAATGTTATTAGACCTTGAGTTAAATAAAAGTTTGAGTTGCTTAGTATAAATACAATCAAAAAATGATCACGTTTCATGAGAAACTTTAAATAAAGTATTTAATGAATCCTTTTATAAATGTTTCTATCGAATATTATTCACGATCATTATTCGATTTCTCCATGGAAAAAATTCATACACCATTGATATAGCAAACACAATCTTAACTTCACAAAATATCAACGCTTGTGAAGATCATAATTCTCATGATGATGAAAAATATGTCCTTAGGACAAATAAATTTTGAAAATGAAAAAAAAATCAAGAACGAATCAAATTATAAAGACAAAAGTTAGTACTTGTTTTGTAGTAGTTGTGTACTTTAAAGGAAAAGAGTGGAGAGAAAAATATGACATCTAATTTAGATGTGAGGTAAAAGTTATAATAATAAATTAGCAATAACAAATTCTTGTAATTAAAAGGACGAAAGACTTGTATATACTATAGTTTTATTATCGTTAAAAATTTGGGTCAGTTCATATTGATTACTCCAAAGTATAAATGAACAAATAAATTTTACAATGCTTTGAAATTTAATCAAAAGTAGGTATACTGTGTCTATCTGCTAAACGCTTGAATAATAGTAAGGAAATAACAAAAAATTATGTTACTTAAATCAACAAAAATCTGGTCTTTAAAAAATCATGACAAAATTTTTGCCAAAACTAGTTATATACTTTCAAATCTTCACAATATTAGCTCTCGTTAATATTATTTAAGTACATTTACTCTAAAGTTATTTAAACCGAAACTGAAGATTGAAAGTCATGCATTTCTCTTTTTAATTCCTACGCGCTAAGAATTACCGTTACGGAATTATCAATATTAAAATGGAACTGATTAACCATATCGATATCGAGAAACCCGTAGCTCACCCACAAAGAATTTTCCGGGACGTGATTTTAACCAATTAGATCGAAGGAGCAAGTATAACGTGAAAATCACGCATTTTTGTTTTTTTTTCAAAAAATCGCTAATAACTCGAAATTTTGTCTTCTGCGTTCTAATAAAAAAAAATTTCTTGCAAAATTTTGGAATAAATTATTTCTTCTCTTGGCCTTAATACCAACCTTAAAGATGTTGTTTATTGATTTAAATCTTTCGCTTAATTCGATTGTTTTGATGTTTACGTTACACCTGCTTCTTCGATCTAATTGGCTAACAATCACGTTCCGGAAAATTTTTTGTGATCAATGACAGATTCCCAATATCTAAAAAAAAAAAAAAAAATTTTTTTTTTTTTTTCTTGAACACTCTTTATAACTGCGTCACGATGGACACGACAAATATTAACAGGACTTCAAAAAAAAATTCATCTTCGAAAACTGAAAAGTCAAAATCTAGTAAAAAAAAGAGCAAAGAAATTGTATCTTTAGTAGAAAATGGTAACTCCACCGAATTAGCTTCAAAGAATAGCAAGCATGAAATAACTGCGAACAGCCTCGATAATAATTCTACTGTCGTTGAAAAAAGTTTAAAAAAAAAAAAAGTGAAAGATAAGGATGAAAAAAACACTGTTAATAGTCGTTCCAAATCTAAACGAAAAGAATATGAAGACAAGCAAAATGATGAGAATGATGATAATGCTCTAATAGCATTCAATGGAAAATTACCAAAAACAAAGAAACAAAAAGTCGAAAACGATGCTTTGAAATCTGGAATAAATGATAATATTGTTACAGATAATATGGATACAATCTCTAATGAAAGCGAAACAGATCATTTAAAACTTTCTTCGTATAGGATTACGCAAACAACTGCTGATTCATTAAAAAAACGTGGAATTGAATCATTGTTTCCCATACAAGCCGCTACTTTCGATTATATTTATGATGGAAAAGATATTCTGGCTAGAGCTAAGGTTTATAGAAGTTTCATATCTCAATTTTATACGATATTTATATTTGTGTCTTCAAATCCATTAATCCACAATTTATATGAAATTTTTTTTGATTCTGTTTAAATAGACTGGAACTGGTAAAACACTAGCTTTTGCATTACCCATAACTGAAGTCCTTTTAAAATTGCATGAAGAAGGCAGCCTCAAAAATGTTCATCGTGGCCGTGCTCCAAAAGTCATTATTATGACTCCTACGCGCGACCTTGCTAAACAAGTTTCAACAGAATTCGAATCAATAGCACCAAACTTAAAAGTTTTATGCATTTATGGTGGTGTTGCCTATGATCCTCAAACTCAAGGTTTGCGTAATGGTATTGATGTTCTCGTTGGTACACCGGGTAGAATTTTGGATCATATTGATCGTGGCAATTTAAAATTGGGTGATTTGAAGTTCATTTGTTTGGATGAAGCCGATCAAATGTTAGATATTGGCTTTGCAGAATCTATGGAAGCGGTATTGCAACATGTAAAACAGCATAAAGAAAATCAAAATAAAGGCATTGACTATCAAACACTCTTATTTTCGGCGACGGTTCCAGATTGGGTAAAAAATACCGTCAAAAAATATTTGAGGGCTGATTATATTAATGTGGATTTGACTAGAAATACAGATACAAAAACCAATGGTGACAAATACATCTTATATTAAAATATGTATTTAAATTTAAAAAAAAAATCATTTACTTACTTATTTATGCGTCTTTAGAAAACATTCGCCATATTGCTATCCGTTCTACGTGGAGATCAAGAAAAGATATAATTGGTGATGTTGTAACATGTTATGCTGGTTCAGGTTCATGTGTAATATTTTGCAATACCAAGAATGATGCAAATGGTGTGTTTATGAGTCATTCCTGAATTCTAAAAGTTAAATTTATAATTGAACTTATATTAATTTTTTTAATTTTTAATTATTATATTAATATTTCAATTATCAGAACTTGTGCTTAATGATAAGCTCAAACAAGATGCGCAAGTATTACATGGTGATATTGTGCAAACACAACGAGAAATCACAATGAAAGCCTTTCGAGAAGGAAAGTTTAAATGTATTATCTGTACTGACGTTTTAGCCAGAGGAATTGATATTCCACAAGTTGGTCTGTTTATCTTATATTGAATAGAATTTTAGTATTATTATGGTTATTTTATTTTATTAAATTTTTTTTCATTTCTTTTTGCATATAGATCTGGTGATCAATTGTGAGCCACCAAAAGATATTGATAGTTATGTGCATCGAGCTGGTAGGACAGCAAGAGCAGGACGACAAGGAATTGCTTTAACGTTCTTTAAATCACAAGAAGAAAACCGTATTTTGAATATTCAACGGTGTATTGGTGTTACTTTTCAAATTGTAGGTCCGCCTCAACCGCAAGATATTATTACTGCTACAGCGAATGATGCTGTAAAAAATCTAGAAGCTGTTGAAAGCAATGTATTACCCTATTTTTACTCAACAGCCAAAGAATTGATAGAATCTCAAGGTGCTATAAGTGCTTTAAGTGCGGCATTAGCTTATATGAGCGGATATTCTGGTGGAATCAAGAAAAGATCATTAATGTCTGCTGATGAGGGGTATACCACATTACTATTTCGGTTTACATATCCAATTCGGCACGCTAGTTACGTTCGAAGTATTTTTAAAAAACATTATACAGATTTACCAGAGGATGCAGTTAAAAGATTTAATATGACCAAAGATATGCAGGGTGTTGTGTGTGATATTTCATCACAATATTTGGAAATTGATGAAAATGGGCATTTGATTTTAGGAGGAAAACAGTGGTATAATACCGCAACTACTACATTAGAAGTTGCTAAAGAGTTACCAGAACTATTACAAAATAACATGAGCTCTGAAAGAAATGGTGAATATAGTAATGGATATGGTAGCAATAGGTATGGTAACAATAGGCATGGTAACAATGGGTATGGTAACAATGGGTATGGTAACAATGGGCATGGTAACAATGGGTATAGAAATGGTTATGGCAACAACAATAATAATAGTAATAAGTGGAAATCTTTTAATCGCAATGTTAATGGAAAATCTAATGGATATAGTAGGAATCGTGGTATTGGTGGAATGTAAATACATAGTAAAGTCATCTATATCATATTTCGGATGGCTACAAATATTAGTTGATGTATTTGTAATATGCTCTTGCAGCTAGAAATTAGGTAACACAGAAATCTTATAATAGAATTTTATTTAAAAGTAAGAGCGGCATAAACTTAAAAAAAATACATGATTAAAGAAATAATACATGTACTTTAGATTTAATAAATGTTTTAAATGTTTCACACTTTTATTTGCTATTTGAAAGTCCGCTTTAGCCGTAACAGCCATCTCAAGCTGATAGAGCTACGGCTTAAAGTTGTAGCTTAAGTACGGCTTGAGCTATAGGGTTGTAAATCGATTCCAAAAATCAGTATCTATGATCGAATTCCAAAATCTTTTTAGGATGTCTTGTAGTATGGGTGGCACTTATTCTAAATCAATTGATTCATAATACATTTTATTAGTGGTGTCACCTATACTACAAGAGATCATCTTTTTATAATAATATGGATGAATAAACAATTAGAATTTCAAAATTTTTCCTCGATCATTACAAAAATCATGGAGCCACACCTTTTTGCAAAGATTAATGATTAAACCGATTTTCATAGAATCGATTTACAACCCTATTGAGCTACGGCTAAACCAATAATGCATTATCAATTTTTTTTTAATATCAAGTATTGAAATGCTTGATGCTAAAGTCTTTAGTGATTTAACATGAGTAAAAAAAATAAATTTGTAAAATTGTAAATTCTTGACGGCGACTAGCGTCAATATTATATGTTTTTGTTTTGGGAATTGCTATTGCCGCCCCTCTATAATCATTGATTAGGATTAGATTATGTGAGGGGTGGCATTAGCAAAAATAGGGTGGCAATAACAATACCCTTTGTTTTTGATATGGTTTTTTTTTTTTTTTGGTACTAATACTGACTGTCTCAATCTAGCGTGCAAATTCGAAAATTAAATTTTTAAAGACCTATTTTTGTGTATTTATTTCAAATTTCATTGTTACACTTTCTATTCTTTAAGCTAGAACATCTGCTAGTTGCTAATGATACTTAAAAATAATTATGTGAGATCAATATAATCTTCATAATTGAAATTAATATTAAAAAAGAAATATGTTGGTAGGCAATAATTATAAAATTTCATTATTTACGTATAAATTAATCTAAGTTATTTTAAACAAATTTATCTAAAATATTAATACGGTCTACCCTCGTTATAATGTAGTGGTCGAGCTGAGAAATTCTTTCCGTTATAATGAATATCCGATATAATGTTATATAGTATAAGGTCTCACAAATTTCTTTCATAACATAAAACTTTTTACAGCTATTTTCATAATTCCCGGAACATTTGATAAAAATTGACCGAATGATGCTCCGGCCGATTCGTGATTGGTAGACGTATCGATCAAATTCAATCTCAAATGCAGTATACAATCGTAAAAAAATATATATCATTATCATTATATTACTAATCACGCTCAAATCAAAAATTTATCGTTGCCGAAATCAAAAACTTATCGAATCGGCCAAACATTCATTCAGTCAATTTTTTGCCAATGTCCCAAAAATAATGAAAACAGCTGTAATTAATTTGCATGGCTTAATAGTATAGTAAAATTTTTAAATTGTCTGGAGAATTACTCCATTATAATGGGGTAAACAGGGTATCCTCTATAACGAAATCATTATAACGAGGGTAGACTGTATAAATTTTATTTCGAATTTATTTTGAAAATTTTTTATTTAAAAATAACTGTATAATAGCAGTATTTAATTTTACATTATAAAAGAATATATATATTTGTTTGTCACCAGCAGTGAAGTCACTGAACAAAAGAGAGTTGAATGTGAGATCAGAGTTTATTGTTGGGTATAGCAAAACTGGTGGCGTGTTTTTTCTATTAGGTAGTGACTACCTAAAGATGCTGGTGAAATTCGAGTGGTGAAATAATTTCAGCTACCGTTGAAATCGGTGTTGGATTGGTGAAATTAATTTCGCCAGCATCTATCCAACCAATTTATTAGTACCAAACGCAGTTGACTTTACTTGGCGTCTAAATATTCGATTGAACCTGGTCCATACAATCTATAATACGCTTAACATGTATCCCGCAGTTTATGTTACGAATTGTTGTATAACAATGATATCGTTGTCACCCATAGCTTCTGATCGTGGTGTTTTCCATATAACACATACAAAAAAAAAAAATCCGTCAATCAGCTTTAATGATATATTCAATTCATTCTCTACGGTTACAATATTATAAAAACAGAATATATTTGTAATTTGGAAAAATAAACTAATGGAGTTTACATTACAGATAATGCACTATATCCTTTGCTTAAATGATTTGACGACCAATACTAAAGTTCTAGAATTAGATGATAGGAATACTAAAGAGATATTGGTTGGGAATGCATGGTGATTAAAAAGCTTATGGAAATTTATCTGGACATCTAATCGAAGTCGATTTTTAAATAAACCTGTAACACATGGCTGAGGCAATTTAGTTTGGACGGTAGAGTTTACCAAGCATTACGGTTTTCAAATATATTTGAAATTTTAAAGAAAAGTAGGTGAAATTAATTTTTTTAGTTAGAATTGATGAATTAAAATTCATTTGAAAGCCATATTTTACACCTTTTTTCGTTGTACTTAACCAAATATATAAATTAGAAATCATACAGCAAAAATAACCACTTTTTTATATATAAAATATAAAAATGTTATTAACTTTAAAAAAAATGTCTTACAAATTTGTTGCTTTAATCTAAGCTACAATTGTTAGAATAGATTTTATTTTTATTATATAAATTTAAAAAGGTATTAGAGCTTAAAGTTTATATTTAATGCTACCCAAAATTAACCAATAATATTTGATTACATAATCCCAAAATTTGATGTTTTTAAAAAATTGGTTATTTTTTGTTGTCCAGTACTGTATATGTTTCATATCAAGTTGCTTTATTCATACACCAATTCTTATGACAATTCTTAAATCATTATGCATCATGAATATCCGGTATTAGCAAATAAAATAACAACATTAATGAACCTAAGTAAGTTGCTAAGTCATAAAATAATTGATTTTCCTCAATAATCATAATAATTGAATTCCTAAGTAACTTGCAAAACGGTTACGCCTATCTTCTATAG